ACATCTAACCCCCAGGCTCCAAGGCAACTACTAGAATCTAACTGGGGGGGTCAGGAAAGCATTACCCATGGAGGGAGTGGGGGGATACCGGACAGGATGGGCCCGTTGGTCTGATGTGGGGGCAGGGAGCGGGGATTCCAGTCTGGATGGGCCAAAGGTCTGATTCATGGGGCAGGGAGAGGGAATACCTGGTCTAGACATTAATCCCTCTTCCCCAGTGTGCATGTCACCTCTCTCCCCTGCAGCTGAGTTCCACTCCCTCTGCCCCGACGGGAAAGGATTCATCCTGGATGACAACATCCTGAACTATGGCATCCCCGCCCACAGGGGTGAGTGCCAGGGCCCATGCCCTGATCTGCTTGGCACCTGCACTCAAGGGCTGGGGGATTAGGAGCCAAGGTTACACCTTCCCCTGCCCACCCCCCCCCCCATGAGTCACAGGGTTTCCAACCCTGCAACCCTCCTACCTGGCCATTACAGCCCTCCACACTCCACCCCAGGGGCAGCTGCATCTCAGTGCCAGCCAAGGGATCCCTATATAAACAACCCCTATACCGCACCCCAGAGTTGGCTGTATCTCAGCGCTGGGTGAGAGATCCCTGTACAAACAGCCCCCACACCCCAGCCCAGAGGCAGCTGCATCTCAGCGCTGGGCGAGGGATCCCTGTATAAAGAGTCACCACACCCCACCCCAGAGCCAACTGCATCTCAGCGCTGGGTGAGGGATCCCTGTGTAAACAGCCCCCCTTCCCCACTCTGGGCTCCTTGCAGACATTGACGAGTGCAGCCTGTTCAGGGAGGAGATCTGCAAGGAGGGGAAGTGTGTCAACACGCAGCCGGGCTACGAGTGCTACTGCAAGCAAGGCTTCTACTATGATGGCAACCTGCTCGAGTGTGTGGGTGAGGAGGGCGAGTGGCATCAGCCCAGTCGGGCAGATATCCTGGTCTAGAACTGTGGGGGGACAGACAGGGATGCCCCTCTAGGGGGCGCTGCTGTGATCTGGCCTTGGTGGGGGGTCTCACTGGCTTGCAGAGTGGGGAATGGGACACGGGCCTTCCCCTCTAGGGCGCGCTGGCTGTGATCTGGCCTTGGCAGGGGGGCTGGCTGGCTTAGGGGGGTGAATGGGGAATGGGACACAGGATGTATACCCTCTAAGGGGCGGTTCTGTGATCTGGCCTTGGCTGGGGGACTGGCTGGCTGAAGGGGGTGGGGGAATGAGACACAGGCCTTCCCCTCCAGGGGGCGCTGGCTGTGATTGGGGTGGGGCCAGGCAGCCAGGAGGGGTGCCGAAAGGAGGGGCTGGACTCTGAGCTATGCCCCTTCCCCCCAGATGTGGATGAGTGCCTGGACGAGTCGAACTGCGTGAACGGGCTGTGCGAGAACACGCGGGGGGCCTATGTGTGCACCTGCCCCGCCCCTGCCGTCTACAACCCCACCCACAAGAAGTGCCTGGCACCCAGTGAGATCGGTGAGTCCCCTTCACACATGACACAAGCTCACTGGCTCTGAGTCTTGGCCCTGGCCAGGTGGGCAGCCCCATCACAGCCCTACCTCCTCCTGGCCCCTTTGAAGGTGGGATGCTGGGGACTGAGCTTCTCTCCCGCGCACATTGGTGGGGTGAGGACGTGCGAGCAAAGATGCCCCTTGCTGGTCCTTGGTGTCATGATGACCAGTTTGGGGTCCTTGGTGCCATGACAACCCACTGAGCCTGTGACATTAGAGCCTATGGTGACTCCTACTGGCCCCTGGTGCCATGGAGACCTCATCAGGTGCAGTGTTACCATGTTGACCCTGGCTGGCCCCTGATGCCATAGCAACCCTCATCAGTCTGGTGGTGCCATGGCGATCCCTGCTAGTCCCCTATGCCATGGCAACCCTGTCAAGCCCCTGATGCCCTGTGACTGTGCCCTGGCCCTGCAGATGTGGATGAGTGCCGGGACCCCGGAGCCTGCCGGCACGGGCGTTGCATCAACACACTGGGCTCCTTCTACTGTGAGTGCAGCCTGCCCTGGATGCTGGATCCCAGTGGCAAGGAGTGCCAGCTCCCCGACATGCAGGCAGGTGAGGGGCATGCAGGGCTGACTGCTACTGCACAGGCCCAGGAGACTGCGGGGGGCTTGGGATGTGAACCTGACTCTGTGAGTGAGCAGGGGGGCGAGTGTGAATGAGTGATTGTGAGGGTGAGCGTGTCCCTGATTGTGAGCCGGTATGAGTGTGAGCACATCACTGATTGTGACCGTGGTGGTTACGAAGATTGTGAGTGTGCCCCTGGAGTTGCCGGTGCCCATGTGTGAGTGTGCACCTGCCTAGATGTGCAGTGACTGTGGTGGTGTGCACAAGGGCCTGTCCAGCATGCCAGGTCCTGTGGGAGTGTCTCCTGCAGGCGCTGGCTGAGATGGTGCCGTGGGCTCCCCCCCCTCTCTCTGCCCTGGCAGACCGGGCGGCTGACCGGCGCGACATCTGCTGGCAGCACCGGGGGGAGGACAGCATGTGCGCCTCCCCGCTCAACGGCTACCACCTGACCTACGAGGAATGCTGCTGTCGGTACGGCAAAGGCTGGGGCTTCCAGTGCCGTGCGTGCCCCCCCCGCAGCCCAGGTAGCATGCTTGCCTAGCCTGCCCTCTGGGGGTGCTGGCTCCAGTCTGGTCCCAGGGTTGGGGGACTGGCTGGCTTGGGGGATGGGGAGTGGGGTACGGGGCCTTTCCCCTCTGTGGGCTCTGGCTGGCTCAAGGGGACGGGGAGTAGGGTATGGAGCCTTTCTCCTCTGGAGGTTGCTGGCTCCTGTCTGGCCCCACAGTGCGGGGGACTGGCTGGCTCAGGGGGCAGGGAGTGGGCTATAGGGTCTTTCCCCTCTGGGGGCTCTGGCTGGTTAAGGGAAGCGGGGAGGGGGGTACAGGGCCTTTCCCCTTTCGAGACTCTAGCTCTGTTTGCACTGGGCAGGATCTGATGGGATGTGATTCACTGGCTATGTGTCCCAGGCTGGTTGTTATGGTTCCTTGCAGGACAGCAGTGTCAGCCATCTCAGAGCGAGAGCAACTCCTTCTGGGACCTCAGCCCCTTGTTCCTGGGCAAGTCCCGCAAAGGTTAGTGATCCTTCTATACACAGCCCCCATGCCCATCCCAGAGGTGGCTGCATCTCATTGCAGGCCAAGGGGTTCCTGTATGAACAGCCACCCACACCCCACCTCAGAGTTAGCTGCATCTTTGTGCCAGACAAGGGATCACTCTTCCACATGCCCCCTCCCTCAATTTCAGCTGCATGGGAATGGGTTCCCTGCCATTCCCATCATCTTATCTGTGTCCCCCCGCCTTTGTACACCCCCCCCCAAGAGGATGACACCTCAGAGGAGGATTCAGATGAATGTCACTGCCTGAATGGCCGCTGCGTCCGGACCTACCACGGTGCAGTTTGCGAATGCCCTGCTGGCTTCCAGCTAGACACCACCCGTGTCCGCTGCCTGGGTAAGAGTGCCAAGCCTCCCGTGAATTAGCATGCACTGCAAAGGGATGTGCTGCCCACACCACTAGGACTCCTGAGTACTGTCCTGGGACGGGGGTCTGGTCTAGTGGATTAGAGCAGGGGTGGGGTTGGGAGCCGGGACTCCTGGGTTCTCTTCCCTCTTCACCTTTCACAAACAGTGCTGCTAGCTGTCTCTCCGTGCCTGGTCTGCTGGGGATGCAGGTTCAAGACCCATACTCACGCGCCACAGCCACTCCATTAACCCCTTCCCTCCCTCTCCCTACCCACAGACATCGACGAATGCCGGGAGCTGAACCAGCGAGGCCTGCTGTGCAAGAACGAGCGCTGCATCAACACCAATGGCTCATACCGCTGTGCCTGCAAGCCAGGCTTTGTCCGATCCCGCCACCATGGGGGCATGTGCATCCCCCAGCGTCGCCGATAGCCCTCTTGTCACCCACCGGGGGCGCTGCCAGCTGACACAAGAGAGAGACTCTGTCGCTAAGGGTTCAGATCCTGTTTGGGGGGAACGTAATATTTTTTAATTGCTAAAAATGGGGCATTTTATTGGGTTTTCCTCCCTCTGCAAGATTTTTTTATTAGCATTATCTTAGGGCTGCATTATTTGCACTCATTTCTGTAGGAACCAGGTATACAAAAGCCAACAACCCTGTAAATAACGAGAAAGAAGCTAATGAATTAATTAAACTGCGGGAGTGGATCCTGGGCTAGGTGTTTGTGTGCTGTGCTGTCCGCCTTGGTCGGGGAGGGCAGACGCTGAAGCTGCTGTCTGGCCTGCAGGGGGTGCTGTGACAGTGCAGGGAGAGAAGCCTGCAGCTGCTGCCCCCCAGCAGTGGGTGCTGTGACAAGGGAGGCAGGGCAGTCTGCATCCTTATAACCTCGCCCTACCCTGACCTCCTAATGGCCTCCCTGTGGAAAGCCTTGGCAGAGCTCTGACATCATGCAGTACACCCGTGATATCATCAGCCATGCTCCCCTAGGCTGTAACTCCTGCCTTGCAAGGCTGGGTCGGGCACTGCTGCGGGGAAGCTCACAGCACCAGGGTCAGCTGTTGGGCCAGGCCTGCAGGGGAGGGTTGATGACATCATTAAAATTCCCACAAGGCCTTTGAGGGATCAAATGGCCTCAAGGTTTAAAAAAAGTAAAGGCTCCAAGGCCCAGACCGGTGTTGGGTGCAGACAGCCCTGGAATGCCTCCGCCTGGGGTAGGCCATGCGACTACAGTGCCCATCATTCCTTGGGGGACTACAAGTCTCAGAATGCACTGCCGGAAGAACTACAGCTCCCAGAATGCACCGGGGCAGGCGGGACCTCCCCCTCGGGCGCCAAACTTCATTTCCCAGGGGGTCGTGGGCAGCCAGTTAACGGGACCACCACTCCCAGCATGCCCTGGGGCATGCTGGCTTCCCTCCGCATGCATCAGACTACATTTCCCATAAGACACCTGGGTTAATTGTAAGCTATAAACTCCAAGCATGCCTCGGGGGACATGGTGTGATTGGCTGGCCAGGTGGACTACAATTCCCATCGTGCCCTGCGGAACTGCGGCTCCCATGGTGCCTTGCGGGCCCAGCATGGCTGCTGCTGTGCCTGTGCTGGGGGAGTGAAGCTGGTGGGGGGAGGAGGGGCTGCTGCCTCTGGTAAAGGGGGGCTGGGGCAGGGTGAGCATCATGTGGGGAGGGGGACCAGAGAGCAAGTGTGAAAAATAGGGACACGTCTTTTCGCGGGGGGTGGGAGAGGGATAGTTGTCGGTGTAAGACAAAGCCCCTAATAGCTGGTCACCCGAGATGGGGGGCGAGAGTCCCCTTCAGTGGGCGGGGGGGAGGGGATAGACAGAGTCGAGGGCGAAGGTCCCCTTCAGTGGGCAGGGGGGCGAGAGACGGGGGTGGGGGTCCCCTTCAGGGGACAGGTTGGGAGAGAGGCAGACACACAGCTCCAGACTCCCAGCTGCAGCTGACTGACCCGGCTCTGGGAAGGCCCTGGCCCTCTCCTCAGCCACCCCTGACGCTCTCTCCTCTCCCCAGCTGCCCTGGGTGCCCGCCATGGGGCTGAAGCCATGGCAGAAGGCCCTGTTCCCGCTGCGCTCGGTGGAGGATGTGGTGCGACTATTCGAGGCTGAGCTGCAGCAGGAGCAGCCCGATCTGGTGCTGCTGTCACTGGTGCTGGGTTTTGTGGAGCATTTCCTGGCCGTGAACCGAGTCATACCCACCAATGTGCCGGGCATCAGCTTCGAGCCACGCCCGGGCCCCGAGCCCGACAGCCTCACCTACTTCCCTGTGGCCGAGCTGTCCATCGTGGCTGCGCTGTATGCCCGCTTCACCGCCCAGATCCGCGGCGCTGTCGACCTGTCCCTCTATCCCCGGCCTGAGGGCTTCTCCTCCCGCGAGCTGGTCAAGAAGGTGTCAGACGTCATCTGGAACAGCCTCAGCCGGTCCTACTTCAAAGACCGGGCCCACATCCAGTCCCTCTTCAGCTTCATCACAGGTAGGGGGCCCACTAGCATGGGGGTGGGGACAGTACCACCCTGGCCCAGTATGGGGCACTGCTCTGGGGCAGCCTGAAAATGCTCAGCTCTGCTTTTCCATTGCCTGCTTCCTGCAGCACAGTGCCCCCTAGTGATGGCGCATTGGAGTTGGGACTGACTGAGAGCAGAGCACCCCCGACTGAGCTCCACCCTTCTCTTTGCAGCACAGCGCCCCCTAGCACCACACTGGCGCAGGGGTCAGCACTGACTGCAAGGGGGAAGCGCCCCCTAATGAGTGCCCCTGCCCTTTGCAGCACAGCACCCTGTAGTACCACACTGGCACAGGGGTCAGCAGTGACTGCAAGGGAAGAGCGCCCCCTCCTGGGCCCCATGCTGCTTCCTGCAGCACAGCACCCCCTAGTGCCATGTGTTCCTTGCAGGCACTAAGCTGGACAGCTCAGGGGTGGCCTTTGCTGTGGTGGGGGCCTGCCAGGTGCTAGGGCTGCCAGACGTGCACCTCGCGCTCTCGGAGGACCATGCCTGGGTGGTGTTTGGCCGGGACGGCGAGCAGACGGCCGAGGTGACCTGGCACGGCAAAGGCAATGAGGACCGGCGTGGGCAGACCGTGAATGCCGGCGTGGCTGAGCGGGTAAGTGAGGGGGGGCCATAAGCTTTGAGGGGTTGGGGGGGTGCATTGAGATGTAGCTGCAGGAGGTGGTGAGGTGGGGGTGTGGGGGGCAGTGAGGGGGTTGGAATGGGGCTTGGGGTCTGTGCGGGGCTGGGGCTGTCTGCTTGGATCAGAAAGCTGCTGTGCAAGATCCCCTGGGCTTTAACCTTAGTAGATGGTGCAGCTGGTAACTAGTAACTGATCTGCATTAATTACTGCCACTAAGGTATCTTCCAGACTGAGATCAGGGCCCCACCCGTGGGGCTAGGTGCTGTTCAGACCGTGGGCAAGATCTGGGGGGGGCTCTGTCACATTCTGGGACACAATCCAGACCAGTGAGGGGTGTGTCACCACCTTCCCTGGGTGCCACGCAATGCTTTGCGGCTGTAGCTCCCACCTGGGTTTCCCACAAACAGCCTCGCAGCATGCAGGTCCCACCCTGAGGGTCTGTGGATAGCCGCAGTCCTGGTCCAGCAGCTCTGACCTCAGCAGCCTGTCAGCAAACACCAGCCATGCTCTAGCTTCCAGCAGCCTTGGTTGGCGATTCCAACACACTCCCGGTCCCGAATTTTCTGCACTATCCGTCCTGTCCCTCAGATATTAGAGGTCGGTATGCAGTAGTTTGCTATTTTAACTGGAATTACCCAGACAGCTCAGTTAAAACACAGCACGGCATTAGACTTGATTTTTATAAAGTTTAAACCAGTTGAATTACAGAGAGAATGTGAGTGAGAAGAAGTATGTGATGTAAAGTCAGAAACAGTTACAAGGGAAATCCCGATAAAGTGCATTCTAGCAACTAAACGTAAAAAACTGGACTTGGTTCAAGGTAAAATCCTTAGCACGTGCTCCCAGCAATGGGACAACCCCAGTTCTCTGGTGAGAACCCCTCGCAAAGACTGGTTCCTTTGACTTCTCAGGTGAGAGAGACAGACAGGCAGACAGCCCCTCCACCAGTGCGTTTGCCCCTCGTTTTCTCAGTCCCATCCCCCTTTGACATGCACTGTCCTGAGGTTACCCTGAGATCAAGTTCCTTCCTGTGGTGAGGATGGAGCCATGGGGTCTTGTGGTGAAAGAGGTTCCATGCTGTTTGCTAAAATGCAGAGTGCTCTGTTCCTTCCCCAAAGAGTGGCCGCTTGGCCAGTGATTGCCAGTTAACTCTGGTGACACCTGGCTAGAGATGCCAGCTTGTCCTATGAGGAACAGTCCACTCTCTCTCCCCCGCCACCCCCCCGCCCACCTTGTCTGGTAAACACATTTCAGTCTTAATGTCTGGTTATGTTCATTATTCTCCATATAGGGCTGCTCCACACATTCCACCAGGATATTACTGAGCAGGGAGTTGTTACTTTTCAAATGACAGCTCACAGGGCATATTTGGTACAAAGATTATTACAATGGTGTGCAGGGTGTGAATACAGGGGTGCATTCAGTCACTGGCCCCCATCAGACCAGACGCCGCTGAGACCAGCTCCCCTGCATTGGACCAGGTGCTGCTGAGATCGGGGCAGGGGCTGTATGATGCCAAGGGCTGCCCAGACCCAGTGAGAGACGATCCTTGCCCTGAAGAGCTCACAGATGGAATAGAGGCACCAAGAAGGGAAGGGACTTGCCCAGCATCAGAGGCAGAGCTGGGAATAGAACCAAGGAGTCCTGGCTCCCAGCCCCACCCCCCTTCTATGGGCCAGGAGCAGCTCCGTGGGGCTCAGGGGTAGCCTGGCCCAGCTCCCTCACTCACTTGCTGCTGTCTCCCACAGAGCTGGCTGTACCTGAAGGGCTCGTACCTGCGCTGTGACCGGCACATGGAGGTGGCCTTCATGGTGTGTGCCATCAACCCCTCCATCGACCTGCACACTGACAGCCTGGAGCTGCTGCAGCTGCAGCAGGTGGGACATGCCCCCTCCCCACGTGTGCATCCAGTCCCCTTCCCCCTGTGCGCACCCCCATGCCTGCCCCATCCCCAGGCCCATCTACTCTCTCCCTCATTCCCCACATGGCCCCCTCCAAGTTGTTCCAATCTCCTCTACCCCACATCCCTCCAGCGCCGTGCGCACCCCACACCTCTCCATGTTCATCCAACCGTTTGTCCCTCCGCCACGCACGGCCCTCCCTTCCACAGGTGACACGGGTCTCATCCTCCCCGCTCCTGCCCCCTGTGGCTCTGTGTCCTCAGTAACCCACCCTCCGCTTTCCTTGCAGCGGCTCCTGTGGGTTCTCTACGACATGGGGCACCTGGAGAGGTCAGTACAGCTGGACTTTTGAAACCACAGCTCAGGGAGGAAGCTCTAGTGGTTAGAGCATGGGGGTCTGGCAGCCAGGACTCCTGGGTTCTATCCCAGTTCTGGGGGGCATTGCGGGGCATCCAGTGGACTTGAGCGATCACCTCTGAGCAGTAGTTTCTCCAGCTGCAGGGTGGGGATCATTAGGCTTGGCAGACACAGGTTTTTATTTTGTATAGTTTTGACAGCTAATGTTGATGTTTATTTTTAAGTGTTTTTCCTGTTTGTATCGATTTTAAATGTTCACCTCTGGAGGACGTTCTCGGGGTCAGCCTATTCTTTAGTGACGAGAGCAGCTGAGATGGCAAAAGTTTGCAGCTTTGTAACCAGTAGCACAAACTGTCCCTGTCCCATGTCCAAGTACGCCAAGGAAATGTCCTTCAGCCGACAACGTTGGCCGCGCTCTGCTGGCTTTGTCTGGCTGTAACCGTTGGTTTTTAGCGACTGACGTATGTTTTAACAGGTTTCAGAGGAACAGCCGTGTTAGTCTGTATTCGCAAAAAGAAAAGGAGTACTTGTGGCACCTTAGAGACTAACCAATTTATTTGAGCATGAGCTTTCGTGAGCTACAGCTCACTTCATTGGATGCATACCGTGTTTTAACCAGTCTGTGTGCGGTGAAATCAACATTTGGAATCCCTCCCAGCCTGGAGCTGGAGAACCCCAGCCTCCCTTCACAGAGCACGTGGAGCTCCAGGGCTGGGATCTAGGCAGCGTTGGTGGTGATGATGTTCTCTAGCAGAGCCCAGCTCTGGGTCAGGTCGGCTCTCCTCTTCCTGCCCGCAGGGCTGGCCGCTGGGGTGTGTGCACCAAGCAGTCATGGCGTACCCGGGGATGGTGCTGGCAGGAGCCAGTGGGTGGGTCTTACCCAGCGCCCCTTGAAATCAATGGGTCTTTTGCCCTCTGCTGCCTTGGGGTGCCCTGCCCCCAAGTGCCAGGCATTGCAGTGCTGCCCCAGTGCCGCCTGTGGCAGGCAGAAGTCAGGATAGAGGGTCCCTCCCCCCCATTCCAACTGCCTGTCTCCCCAAGGTAACACCCCTGTCTGCTCTGCTGCCCTGGCAGGTACCCGATGGCACTGGGCAACCTAGCCGACCTGGAGGAGTTGGAGCCGACACCAGGCAGACCAGATCCCCTCTCCATCTACCATAAGGTGAAGGGGTACAAGGCTGAGATCGCAAGGGCAAGGGGTTGGAACTGGCAGAGCTGGAAAGAACCCAGAGCTGGGACCATGGGGGGGGAAGGGGAGCGTGGATCAGGGCTGGGGGGAGCCCAGGGCTGGGATCATAGGGGACTATGGGTCAGGACTCAGGGGCACCAGCAGAGTTGGGGGGAGGCCAGGGCTGGGATTGCAGGGGACTGTGGGTCAGGACTCAGGGGCACCGGCAGAGCTGGGGGAGCCCAGGGCTGGGGTCACAAGGGATTGTGGATTGGGGCTGGGAGGAGGCCAGGGCTGGGATCGCAGGGGACTGTGGGTCAGGACTCGGGAACAGGCAGAGCTGGGGGAAGCCCAGGGCTTGGATCACAGAGGGCCTTGGGTCGGGACTGAGGGGCACTGGCAGAGCTGGGGGAAGCCCAGGGCGGGGATCGCAGGGGGTTGTGGTTGGGACGTAATTAGTAAAACATAAATGTTCCTGAGTAGTTTGATGAGAATGTCCTTTTATTCTGTCTCCCCGCCCTCCAGGGCATCAGCTCAGCCAGGAAGTACTACAGCAACGAGCACATCTACCCCTACATGTACCTGGCTGGCTACCACTGTCGCAACAAGAATGTCAAGGAGGCGCTGGAGGCCTGGGCTGATACAGCCACCGTCATCCAGGAGTGAGTGCCCCAGGAGCCTGCCATATGGCCCCAAACCTTTCCCTTTGTTAGGGCCTAGCTGGCCACCAGCCCATGGAACTACTTGCCTAAAAAGAAGACTGGGGTGATTCATGTTTGGAAGGACATGGGGCCTTCCCCTCTAGGGGGCACTGGCTCTGATCTGGCCCCAGGCCTGAGGACTGGCTGGCAGCAGGGGAATGGGACAGGGGCTGGCCCCAAGCCTAGGGGCTGGCTGGCCCCAGCTGCTCACTGCCTCCCTTGGTCTTGTCCTCCCCCAGCTATAACTACTGCCGGGAGGACGAGGAGATCTATAAGGAATTCTTCGATGTGGCCAACGACGTGGTTCCCAACCTGCTCAAGGAGGTGGCCAACCTGGCAGAGCCACTGGAGGAGAAAGGTGCTGGGGAGAGAGGAGAGGTGAGGGGGGTACTGAGTTGGATGGGCCCCTTGGATGAGTTGGGGCGGGGGGTGATGGAGGGGACACCAGGCTGGAAGGGTTCTGGGGATGATCTGTGGGGGAGGGGAGGACACCAGGTGGGAGGGGCCATGGGATCCAGGGGTGGGTGAGGGGAACACCAGACTGGAGGGCCTGTTTAGCCCCTGGTGCATTGGGCCCCTGGGAGGCACTAACCCCTCTCTTTCCCATTCAGGGGTCCCCGGCGCAGGCTGGGGGCTCAGCCCTGCAGGACCCCGAGTGCTTCGCCCATCTGCTGCGCTTCTATGATGGCATCTGCAAGTGGGAGGAGGGCAGCCCCACGCCTGTATTGCATGTAGGCTGGGCCACTTTCCTGGTGCAGTCGCTGGGGCGCTTTGATGGGCAGGTGAGGGGGGCAGGTGTAACGGAGGCAGGGCAGGGTCTGGGAAGCAGCGCACATTGGTTGGTGAATTGTCTGATCTGGGGGGCTCGGGTGGTATTGGGGGAGATGGGGAGCTTTGTGCTGGGACTTGGGGGGTCCCTGCTGGATTTGGGGGCTCAGGGCTGGAGCTCTGGGGGATGGGGATCAGTGCTGAGGGGCTCAGTGCTGGGGTTTGAGCGTGTGGGGGACCCTGCTGGTTTTAGGGGTTCAGTACTGGAGTTGTCAGCAGGGCAGGGGGTTTAGGGTTGGGCTTTGGGGGGGTCCCTGCTGGATTTGGGAGCTTGGGCTCCTGGGGGGGGGCAGGGTTGGGGTTTTGGCAGTGGCTGTGGGGTGCAGGCCCCTCCCCTGACTCCCTCCCTCCCTCCCCCAGGTGCGCCAGAAGGTGACAATTGTGGCGCGGGAGACGGAGGCCAATGAGGACGATGAGCAAGGCAGTGAGGATCCCCGTGAGGGGCGCCGGCGTGGACCCCGCCGCGAGTCGAAGCCGGAGGAGCCACCCCTGCCCAAGAAGGCCACCGAGCGCCGGCGCCCTAGCTCAGGCCAGCGGCCAGACAAGCCCTCTGCGGTGGAGAAGGAGGAGGGGGGGGGCCCCGCCCCCGGGGGTCCCCCCTGTCCCCCCACCCGAGGGGCCTGTCCTCACCTTCCAGAGCGAGAAGATGAAGGGCATGAAGGAGCTGCTGGTGGCCGCCAAGATCAACTCGAGTGCCATCAAGCTGCAGCTCACGGCCCAGTCCCAGGTGCAGATGAAGAAGCAGAAGGTGTCAGCCCCGAGAGACTATACCCTGGCCTTCCTCAAGCGCCCCCGCAAGTCCCTCTGAGCCCTGCGCTGGGGCGCAGAGCTGCCCCCTGCCAGGCTCTGCCAGGCTCAGCTTCACGGGGCGAGGAATAGTTGCCTTTAAATAGGGCATGGGGAAGCGCCCTGCCCCCCGTCTCTCCTAGGTGCAGGGGCTGCCTCACCCCTGCTGTAGCTTTCCTGGGCTCCCCATGGCGTGGGGGAGGGGGCTCTGTGGGTTCAATGCTGGGGCGGGTGGGGCAGCTCTAATATTACCACCCCCAGAGACAGGAGCTGTCATGGCCTCAGCCCCCTTGAGCTCTGGGGTTCAGGGGTGATGAATTCTGTGCGTTCTCCATGTATCTGGGAGAGCTGCAGGAATTGGATGGAGGGGCCCTTGGAGCCCAGTTATGGGGGTTCCCTCTACTTTGCACCCCTTCTGCTGAGGAGATATGGCCCCCTCCCCTCTGACACACACTAGGGTTCTTCTGGGCGAGGTGTCTCCAAAATACAGACCCACCTGAGCCCTGCCCAGGGGCCAGGTTGGAGCCCACACTCCCTAAAGAAGAAGGAAGCCGCATCCCATACTGTGCCCCCGAGCCAGTCATGTGGGGGGAGCTTCTCTCTCTTTAGGCTGGGGGGGTGGGTTAGCAGCTGACTTTTGATTTTTCCGGAGTCCAGCTGCTGTGTCCTGAGCTTCCAAAGTGACTTCTGGCCCTGCACAAAGCCCTGGGTAGAGCCGCAGCTGTTCGGCGTGGGGGATGGGGGGCTTTGTACCTCTTCCCCCCCCCCCCCCGAGTTTGTAATGTAAACTTCTTCCCCTGTCATTCTCCCTCCCTTCCTCTCTCCCCCCCTGTGTGGTCATGCCCCCGCATCTGTCTTCTGTTCTCAACCGAGGCCTTTCTGTTGAGATCTGCTGTCGGGGGCGGGGCAGATAGCAAGGGGTGCTGGGGGGAATCTGAGCATGCCACCAGGCCCAGGGCTTTCTAATGGGCTCTGATGGGTCCCACTAAACAAGCCCCAGCAGGGCCATGGCAAACGCATCCGGAGTGGGTGTTGCCTTCCCGGTGCAGCTTAGACAGAGAGCTCCTGAGGCTGTGCCAACTGGGGCAGCCCACAGACTCCTAAGCAGCATGTCCAGCTGGGCCCCACTGTCTCCCTCCAGTGGGTGATGTGGGAGTTGCATTAAAGGCCTTGGGGGGCAGAGCTGGGGTGAGGGCAGGCAGGGCTTTGTACAGTTCGGGGGTGGATGGTGCTGGGGTGGGACAGCTTTGGCAGGACTGAGATAAACAGCCTGAGGGTTCCCACAAAGGAAGGGGGGAGACGCATCTACTAAATGTGTATTTTTTAGTAGCATGAAGGGTTAATAAAAAAGTTGGTTTTAAAATAGTCTGCCCTTAATGGCTGGTTTGTTTATTGCAGGTGCTGGTTCCTCCTTGGGAGCAGGGCAGGAGCTGGCTGTGTGGGGAGCTCCCAGCTACTCTAGCCCTGGCCTCTCCCCACAAGGGGGCGCTGTAGGGAGTGGGGGAGGATCACTGGCTGCAGGGGGAGTGCCTGACTAATCCAGGTCTGGCCTCTCCCAGCAGGGGCTGCTGTAGGGCGTGGGGCAGGAGCACTGACTGTGGGGGCAGCTCCCAGTTACTCCAGCCTCTCCCAGCAGGGGTCTCTGTAAGGAGTAGGACAGAGGCCCCCTCCAATACACTCCCCTCCTTCCTCCCTGGCCTCAGCCCCCTGCCAATCTCATGGCCCTCAGGCCCAGAGAAGCTAGTTTCCCTGCTGCCTTAGCTCAGGGCTTGGCTGTCACGTGTCCGGCCGCTTTGTATAATTTTTGGTGGTGCCCAGAACAGCTCCAAGCAGAGCCGTCCAGTCCGCAGGGCAGACCGGGGCTACTGCCCTGGCCCCGTTCTTTGTGGGGCCCTACACTTCAGGGGGACTGGGGTCCAGGGCAGCCTGGCACTGGCAGCAGCAGCAAGTGACCCAGCCCTAACTGGCTCCCCCTGGCCAGCTCCTGGCATTGCTTGGGGGAGGGGGCAGAAGCCGGAAAGAGGCGGGGCGAAGGCTTGGGGGAAGGGGTGATGAGTTCTGTGCGTTCTCCATGTATCTGGGAGAGCTGCAGGAATTGGATGGAGGAGCCCTTGGAGCCCAGTTACAGGGGTTCCCTCTACTTTGCACCCCTTCTGCTGAGGAGATATGGCTCCCTCCCGTCTGACACACACTAGGGTTCTTCTGGGCCTGGTGTCTCCAAAATACAGACCCACCTGAGCCCTGCCCAGGGGCTGGGTTGGAGCCCACACCCCCTAAAGGAGAAGGAAGCCGCATTCCATGCTGGTGGGGGGAGGAGTGGGGGTGGAGCAGGGGAGGAAGAGGCGGGGCAGGCTGGGGCCCTGTTGCTGGGTGCCAGGCCCTGTGTTATCCCCCCAGGCTGCCCTGGACCCTGTGTCCTCTTGAAGCACAGGGGCCCCCCAAGAGTGGGGTAGTAACCCCAGTCCGTCCTATGGACGGGATGGCTCTGAAAATGTAAGTCCAAGCATTGGTGGAGCTGGGCCCCCGTTCCTGAATAGTGGGTGGATGGACATGAGCACCCCAGGCCCAGAGAACTTGCTGCCTATGCCTGTGTCTGGTTCTAGCCTGCGGTGGAGCTCCCTGCAGTGCCGAGGCTGCGCCTGGAGAGAGGGGGCTCTTGAGCCAGCCCTGCGCAGACTCCACGGCAGGGCGCTTGGCTCAGGCTGTCACAAGTGATCAGTGATGTTCGCAGCGGAGAAGGATAATTTGGTGCTGGCTCCGGGTGAGGAAGGGGGTTGGGAGCTGCCTACTGCTCAGCTTAGAGCGTGGATGGATTTTCCTGCCCGTGTGTAGGTGGGTTGTGGAGCCACAAGACTATTGCGGGTGCGTGGCCTTGTGCTGGATCTACCCCTGTGCAAATGGGCTTCTCGGAGTTGGGTACAGAACCCAGGAGTCCAGACTTCCAGCCTCTCCCCCCACGAGGCCCCCACTCCTCTCTCAGAGCTGGGATAGAACCCAGGAGCCCTGACTCCCAGGCCCTATTTGACCTGCTAGGACCCCCTCCCCAAGCTGCTCTAAAGCAGGGGAGGGGGTGGCTGTGCTCTTTGCAGGCTCCTGTTTTTGGGGGGAGGGGAAGGGTCTCCGGCAGGAGCAGCGTGTAACCCCTTGCCCTGGCTGCTCTCCCCACCAGCAAGGCTGATTTTCCCTCCCCTCCCCGTTTAAGGGATGTGACCCTCCCCCGTCCCATCAGCAGGGCCTGTCCCCTCCCCTGTTTGGGGGTGTGACCCCCTTCCTTCTCCCCGCCCCCAGGGGGGCAGGGCTGGCTCCGCTTCCCTCCCCGCTGGTTCCCCGGCCGGCCGGGCCGCGCCGTACCCTGCTGCCCTGCGGCTCCCCAGGGACCATGAGCCTCTTGCGGGACGTTTCCCTGCTGGACCCCCGGCTCCGCTATGAGCTGATCCAGCGCATCGGGGCGGGCACCTACGGCGATGTCTACAAGGTGAGGGGGCGCCGGGCGCACGGGCCGGGGGGAGCTTGGGGTGGAGGTGCATGGCGGCGTGTGGAGGGGACCCTAGGGCATAGGGAGCTGGGGTGGGGGCAGGGGCATGGCAGAGAGCACAGGAGGTCTTGGGGAGCTGGGGTGTGGGGGGCATGGTGGGGAGCTGAGGGAGAACTGGGGTGCGTGTGGGGGGCATGGCGGGGAGCCAAGGGCTGAGGGGGAACTGGGGCATGGCAGAGCACAGAGGGGGTCCAGGGGCATGGAGAACTGGGGTGTGTGGTGGGGACATGGCAGAACACAGAGGGGGTCCTGGGGCATGGGAAGCTGGAGCAGTGGTCCCGTGGAGCAAAAGAGCAGGTATGTGAGGCTGGAGAGATGAGGTGGGGTGCATGGCAGCCCAGGAAAATAAGAGGGGACAATGGGGCCAGCGAAGCTGGGTGGGGGTTGCAGGAAGCTAGGGGATTTCCTGTCTTTTGGGAGGTATGTGAGTCCATGGGTCTGGGGACACTGGAGGGAGAATCATGTGGCCTGGGGATGGGGAGTAACCTAGGGGTTTAGGAGCTGGGATACAGTGGGGTATATGAATGGGGGATATGAGGGCCCAGGTGGGGGTGCTCAGGGGAGGGCCTGGCCAGCCCAGGATTCAAGGGGAGACTGGGGTGGATGAAGGATCTTAGAGTATTTCGGGGGCTCCTAGGGAATTGGGGTCAGAGATTCAGGGGGAGCTAGGGGATATATGGGAATTGGGGTGTATGGAGGGCAGGGTTGTGTGGGGTTGTGCTAAGGGCAGGGGTGGGTGCACAGGGAAATCTAGGGGCTGGGGGCACCTGGCAGGGTTTTTGTCCTGGTAGAGCAGGACAGCAGTGGCTGGCAAGACCAGCTTGATGCATGGGGGGCATGACCCAGATACCTGCAGTGGGGTTCCTGTGGGTTGCCCTGGGTGGGGATTGTCTTTTGGGCGAGGGGTGGGGGAGTGTCCTGGGGGTGGATGGGGGAACTGCACAGGGCATTCTGAGGAAGGGGCTGATGTTCAGGTCTGAGGGGGGCATGGTGTATGTGCGGGGAGGTTACAGGCATGGGGGGCTGGTGAGGAGTTGTGCACAGGCAGAAACGTGTGGGGGAGCCCCGTGAGGGGTCCCTGGGGCGCTGTCAGAAACTCAGACCTCTGCAACTGGCACTTCATTGCCAGACCAGGAAGGTGTGAGGGGATGGAAGGGAAACTCCTAAGACAGGGAGGGCCCCCCTCCAGAGAGCTCCAGTGCATGGAGTGACCTGTCCTGGGTTTGAGCAGAGGGGCTGGGAGCCAGGACTTCTGAGTTCTACCCCAGGCTCTGGGAGGGGAGTGGGGTGTAATATTTGCTGGAGTGGGGGGCTGGGACCCTGGACTCCAGGGTTCTAGCCCCGGCTCTGCCGGTGGTGCAGACTTAGCTCTGCCTGCACTTGGGGAATAGCCCCGATTCAGCAGCCTGTGAAGCCAGCTCCACCACTGAGCATTGCCAAGCATGAGCTGGCATTTGCATCAGCTAATGAGGGTTAATTCCCAAGGCTTCCTTTGCCCCCTATACCTGAGGTACCATGGCTGTGGCTGGCCAGATCTGAACCAATGTCAGGCCATTTGGGGGGATCTAATGCTCATCCTTTCCCGGCAGTAGGGCCACCAGAACCCTGTGCTGCCAGCTGTTTCTGTGCCACCATTATGCTGACTCAAAGGTGTCATGCAGCTGGGGTTGCGTGGGGTAGACAGGCTCTGTGTCCCTTGCCTGCTGGGCCACTCATAACACCGCACGTCCCCCCAGAGCTGGGCCCGTGAGGGTATCTCCGAGGTTGAGATCTGCCAGGGTCAGGAGTGAATGAGTGGGGCCAAGAGGCAGCCACTGCATGCTCAGACTCAGAAATTGGTTTTCTTTGATGGAGGAAATGGGGACACAGAGCCCTGAGAATGGGGAACCTGGTACTGGGGAGAAGGAGAGGCACAGAGCCCCTGACATGGGGGGGCATGGGGTACCTGACATGTGGGCACAGAGCCCCTGGCGTGAGAGAGGGGGAGTTGCAGGGAGTCCCTGTGATGGAGGCGCTGGGAGGGTGGCCTCAGGGAGTTGTGGTGGGGCCGGAGAGAGGCAAGAAGCTGGGGTGGGCAATGCGCTGGGCCTACAGTCGCTGTGAAGCCTGCGCCCCCTAGTGCTCTCTGGTTTGAGAACCACAAGGGCCCAGCCTCCTACACAGCCTGGGCACAGACTCCCCCCTACAATGCGTGCCCCGCCCAGGTCTGCGAGCCAGGTGGGAGCAGAGCTTTGAGAGAGAGACGTCCAGGCTGGGTCCATAGAGGCCAAGCGCTGGTGAGTTCACTGCACTGTGGTGCATGCGGCTGGGAGCCAGGACTCCTGGGTTCTGTCCCCAGCCCTGAGAAGGGGGTAGGGTCTGGCAGGTTAGACCAATGGTTCTCAATCAAGGGTATGTGTACCCCTGCGGGTACGCCAAGTTTTTCCAGGGGGTACATCAACTCACCTAGATATTTGCCTAGTTTTACAACAGGCTACATAAAAAGCACTAGCAAAGTCAGTACAAACTACAAAATTCATACAGACAATGACTTGTTTATTCTGCTCTATATGCTAGCCACTGAAATGTAAGCACAATATTTATATTCCAATAGATTTATTTTATAATTATATGGTAAAAATGCAAAAGTCAGCAGTTTCTCAGTAACTGTCCTGTGACACTCTTGTATTTTTAGGTCTTATTTTATAAGCAAGTAGTTTTTAGGTGAAGTGAAACTTGGGGTACACAAGACACATCAGACTCCTGAAAGGAGTATAGCAGGCTGGAAAGGCTGAGAGCCACTGGGTTAGATGGGGTGGGAGCCAGGACTCCTGGGTTCTATTCCTGACTT